GCATATTTCAACAAACAGATGCAGCCCTGGGATGCACTCACCAGGTTATACAAGAAATCTTAAGGACAGCTATCTAGCCAACTAATGGGAACAGACCCATATTTATTTCTATTACTCAAAAACATAATATAACAGAATGCAGAAATTATTGAACAATATTATTAATATCATGTGAAAGCAAAATATTGTTGAAGATTATCCAAAAACAACTAGAATAGGGCACTGACACAAAACTGACAGAAACACAGGCAAGTTTTAGAAGAAGCCAGGGCATAACAATATCATTGCTGATGTCAGATGGATCTTGGCTGAAAGCAAAGAGTACCAGGAGGATGTCTGTTTGCGTTTTATTGACTACATGAAGACATTTGTTTGTTGTGATTCACACAAATTGTGGCTAACATTGAGAAGAATGGAAATTCCAGAACACTTGGTTGTGCTCATTCGAAACCTATAGCTAGACTAGGAAGCTGTTGTCTGAACAAAGCAAAGGAACACTGCAGGGTTCAGAAAAAGAGACTACCAAATACAGTCAGAAGCTGCCATATACAGCCAGAAATGCACAGTCTAGAGAGGATAAAATTGATGAATGGGACTTTCTAAAGATTAAGTCTCTGTATTCATCAAAATCTTTTCCCAAAATGGAAAAAGGAAAGCTTTCTGACTGGCAATAAACATTTGGCAATAGTGTCTTAGACAAGGGTCTCATAACAAACACTTACAGAATATTCCTGAACTTCCAGAAAAAAAAACTGAAAACCCCATTACAAAATTGACAAGAGACATGGAAAGACTTTTCAAAGAGGAAGACATTCAGGTGGCCAACAGACACATGAACAAATGCTTATAATCACTGGCAACAAGAGAGATGCAAACCAAAACCACAATGAGACATTATCTCGCTCCAGTAGCAGTGGCAATGTTTAGTAGGGCAGCAAGTAATAAATGATGTGAATGATCAAAACATGGAAACAGCCCAAATGTCCAACCACAACCCAATAAATTGAGAAATTGTAGTATCTTTACCCAATGGAATACTGTGCAACACTCAGAAGCAATAATTTGAAAAATACTACATAACTTGGGAGAGACTGGAGAACATTGTGCTGAGTGAACTAATTCAGTCTCATAAGGACAAATACTGCACAAAACCATTTTTTGTAAAAATACAAGGATGACTAGTAAAACGTGTATGGGAACTCAAGGTAGAGAAGGCTGAGGATGAGTAGGGGTGAAACCATAGGATTGTACAGTTTAGTGAGTGGAGGGAGGTGGGGAAGAAAATGAGAAGGATTGGATGAAAAGACAGGGTAATGATGAGAAAGGTCCTGTGGTTATTAACTTTATAAAACATAATGCATGAGAATGATTGTATGAAACACAATGTGAATGAAGAATAATTGGAAATGCAATATATATATGAAATTTGTGAGAAAACCAATAAAAAAATAAAGGAAAAACAGTGTATGTACATAAACTTTGTGAGCAAACCAATAAAAAAATAAAGGGAAAAAGGGAGAGTGTGTTAGGGATATCCTTTTTTTCCATACATTTTTCAGTGTAGATGCTGAGCAGATTATTTGGGAGGCTGGACTTTATGAAGAAGAGTGTGACATTAAGATTGGAGAAAGACTTTTCAATAACCTACTTATGTGGACGACACAACCATGCTTGCTGAAACTAAGGAGGACTTGAAGTGTTTGCTGCAGAAGGTCAAGGACTGCAACCTTCAATGTGGCTTCTCAAGATCAAGAAAACAAATATTTTCACCACCGGTGTGGTTGGCAATATTATGAGAGATAGAGAAAGGGTTGAGGTTGTTAACAATTTCATCTTGCTTGAATCTATAATCAGCACTCCCCATGCCACAGTCAGGAAATCAAAGGTGAGTTGCACTGGGAAAATCTACTAATCAGGGACCTCTTCTGAGTACTCAACAGCAACAGTGTCAGTCTAGGGACTAAGGAATGCTTTATCCTGGTCATGATTTTCTCATTTGCTTTCTATACATCTGAAAGCTGGACAGTGGATAAGGATGACAGAAGAATTGATGCCTTTGAGTTGTGGTGCTGGAGAAGAATATTAATCCAATCCATGGATTTCCAAGAAAACAAACAGATCTTTCTTGGAGAGGGTGAAACTAGATTGCTCTTTGGAGGCAAGGATTATGAAAACAAAAGACAAATTGCATTGGGAAAGTTGGCTGCCAAGGACCTCTCTATAATACTAAAGAGCAACAGTGTCAGTCTGGAAATTGAGATGTGCCTGAACCAGGCCACGATCTTCACAATTACTTGCTATCCATCAGAGAGTTGGACAATAACCAAGGATGATAGATGAGGGATTGACACTGTTGAGTTGTGGTGCTGGAGAAGAGTCTTGGACATACCCTAGCCCACCAAGAAAACAAATAGGTCTGTCTCGGAGAAGATGAAACCAAGCTTCTCTTTGGAGTCTAGGGTTTTGAAGCTTCATCTTACATACTTTGGGCACATGGCCAGTCCTTGGAGACAAACATTATGTTCAGAAGGATGGAGGGACAGTGTTGGAGACAAAGACCCACAATGAGACAGACTGACTCTGTGACTGGAGAAGTGGGCTTAGGTCTGTTAGAGACAATGAGATTGGCCCAGGATAGGGCAGGTTTTAGAGCTGTTGTACCTATGATCGCTATGAGTTGCAAGCAACTCGATGGCACGTAATAACAACAACTCACATACTTTGAGCATGTTGCCAGGAGGGACCTGTCCTTGACCTCTCCTTGGAGAAGGAGATTCAGGCCAGAAGGGCAGGTGTTTATAGCCCAGGAGAGGAAAACTTTGGATGAGATGCATTGATCCAGTAACTGTGACAATGGGATTAGGTGTGTCAGAGATAGTAAGGTTGGCTCAGGATAGGGCAAGGTTTAGAAGTTTTGTTCATAGAATTACTGTGAGTTGTTGTAAACGTGACAGCATATAACAACATGTTTTAAGAATTCTAGTTAACAGATAAAAAAATAAAGTAAAAAGAATTTACAGCGGGAAACAGTATATTGAGCATTTTACTTTCACCAACAGTTTTTTTTTTAAAATTTATACATGAAATGTTTTTTCTGTTTCACTGTGTAAAATATAATGGATTCTAGAAATTATACTACAATTATTTATGATAGTTTTTAGAGAAAATAGTAAATTTTGGAACAATTTTTTCTTAAATTTCAAAATTGTTTTAAAATACTTTTTTTATATAGATGTTTCTTACTTTCCTTTTAGAATTGTAGAAGAATACCACGATTTGTATACATTGCAGAGAGGAAGAATGGAGAGTGATGTTAAACAATTAATGACAGAAAGAGATATCTGGAGCTCAGCCACCTATGATTTGGCTCTAAAGGTTATTTCACCTGAACACATAATTTTTTTAACCTTAATTATTGTTATTAATCAAGAAAAAAATAGACTAAAATATA